GACTTTGATGTCAAGCGAAATTATTAAAATAATAAGGTTTAATGAATGAATTATAAATATGTGAAGGTGTAAAAGAAAACCCATGAAATAATAATAGGGGCCAAGTTATATTTTACTCATATAATCCCTATTGTCTTTAACCCATATACAAACACCAAGTTATATTTTACTCATATAATCCCTATTGTCTTTAACCCATATACAAACAACTTTGCAGGTAAGTATTTAATCCTATATAACCATGAGTTGACAGGTTATACTTTAATCCCTGTAGCCATAACCTCGTAGAAGTTAGCCATTATTTTATAAACTATTATTTAATCCATAGAACCCCTATTATTATTTCATGGGTTTTCTTTTATACCTTCACATATTTATAATTCATTTATTAAACCTTATTATTTTAATAATTTCGCTTGACATCAAATTGTTTGTATATGGGTTAAAGACAATAGGGATTATATGAGTGGAACGTGAATTTAACCATTTAATTAATATTACCAAGTGGAACGTGAATTTAACCATTTAATTAATATTACCAAGTGGAACGTGAATTTAACCATTTAAGTAATATTACCAAGTGGAACGTGAATTTAACCATTTAATTAATATTACCAAGTGGAACGTGAATTTCTCTGTATACAACTTATCTGGATTCTTAAAAATTACACTATGTAGTTGTAAGAATATTTTTCGAAATATTAAACAAAAAGGTTTTCCAGAACATTAAGTAAGATACATGAAACAGCTCGAAAGATAAATATATCAAACAATTATAATTTGATTGATTTTTCAAACATTTACGTTAAATTTCATCAGATTTAACGAGTGTAAAATACTACTACATTACTCCTTTGGTTCCATACCAAAACTCAACTGTAATCTACAACTAGTCCCAAACTTCACATTCCACAAGCTTATGGTTCCGAGCTTATAGTTATGTAAGTAATACTGAGTTCCTGGGTACAAGAGTAACTAATATTCACGTTCCGGTTATGTAAGTAACATAAATAACATCATCTGGTTCCATGTGAAACACCAAGTTATATTTTAGTCATATAATCCCTATTGTCTTTAACCCATATACAAACACCAAGTTATATTTTACTCATATAATCCCTATTGTCTTTAACCCATATACAAACACCAAGTTATATTTTACTCATATAATCCCTATTGTCTTTAACCCATATACAAACACCAAGTTATATATTTTTAACCATTTAATTAATATTACCAAGTCTTTAATTAATATTACCAAGTGGAACGTGAAGGAACGTGAATTTAACCAAACTTGGTAATATTAATTAAATGGTTAAATTAATTAAATGG